AAAACCTAAATCTTTCATCAAATCTGCCGAGCGGCACTGCAGGGGAGTCTCGTTTAGAGAAGGATTAAAATCCCACCTCTGCAGGACAAAAGTGTGCATTAATGTCTCCAATATCTTTCTTCTCTCAGCTCTTGGTTTTTCGCTTTTGTTTTGTACTCCTGATCAGCGGATGCGATGCAGTGCTCATGCATATTCCATGTCATGCAGAATTAAGACATAATATTCAAATGTAGTCATTATATGGTTTATTACAGTGTACGTCTGAATGGATCATTATGTTGCAAAGACAGATGTCCGAAGAACAGATCAGATGTGATCAGAACAGAAACAGGATAAGCGTTGTGTTCACCTGTTGTGTTGCCAATGCTCTTGTTGTTTTATTATTAATGTTGGCTAACTAAAAGGCACATTGGAGATATTCATTCACTCATTTTCCTTCAACTTAATCACATTATTGATCAGGGGTCGCCACAGTGGAATGAACCGCCAACTTATGCAGCATTTGTTTTACATTCACACTCATACACAACAACCAATTTAGTTTATTCAATCATATTATTATTATTATTATTATTATTATTACTACTACTACTACTACTACTACTACTAGTAGTATAGTATATGATTTTAGTCAACATTTTTACTCAACTTAAAAAAAAAACTAAATTAATTTATTAATTTAATGATAATAAAATATCCCCAATTCATATTAAAACTAAAAAAGTTAAAACCTCACCACAATAAAACTTTAAATCTTGGCATGGTTTTCTTTTTTATTTTAAGAAGTTAAAACTGGGAACCTTTTTACCAACATGCATCAATATTTACACACATCAATATACATATATTGATATACAGTTGAAGTCAGAATTAGTAGAATTATTATTAGTATTTTCTTTTTTTAAATATTTCCCAAATGATGTTTAACAGAGCAAGGGAAGGCAAGTTTATTTATATATCACATTTCATACCCAGTGGTAATTCAAAGTGCTTTACATAAACAAGAATAAAAGAGACAAGAAAATAAAAATGTATTTATTAATATATAAAAATATAAAATATTAATAACAGATTAAAATGTGTTAAGACAGGTTATCAAAGAATGAAAACAAAAGACATGATAGTGCAATCTGTGGGACGCAGCACAGTGCTCATTCAGTAAAGGCACAGCTGAACAAAGTCTTGATGTCAGTCTTGATTTGAATACGCCTAATGTTGGAGCACATCTGATCATTTCTGGAAGCTGATTCCAGCAGTGGGGGTGTAGTAGCTGAAGGTGGATTCACCCTGCTTTGACTGAACTTTTGGAATTTCTAATTTACTTGATCGTAAAGATCTGAGTGATCTATTAGGTTTGTATCCAGTGAGCATATCTGTAATAGACCAGTAATAATACTTTAAAATCTATTCTGAATGTAACTAGGAGCCAGTGTAAAGACCTGAGGACAGGTGTGATGTGCTCTGAATTTCTGGTTCTGGTCAGAATCCTGACCACAGCATTTTGGATGTGCTGCAACTGTCTGACAATCTGAGCAATGTAATTTTCATAGTATGTCTGATATTATTATTTTTTTTCTGGAGAAAGACTTATTTGTTTTATTTTGGCTAGAATAATAGCATATTAACTCATTTTAAGGTCACAAATAAATTATTATTCCCTTTAAGCTATATTTTCTTACGACAGTCTACAGAACAAACCATTGTTACAATAACTTGCCTAATTACCCTAATCTGCCTAGTTAACCTAATTAACCAACTTAAGCCTTTAAGTTTCACTTGAAGCTGTATAGGAGTCTCTTGAAAAATATCTAGTCAAATATTATTTACTGTCATCATGGCAAAGATAACCTAAGTCAGTCACTAGAAATTAGTTATTTAAACTATTACGTTAAAAAATGTGTTGAAAAACCCCCATTAAACAGAAATTGGGGGGAAAATATACAAGGGAGCTAATAATTCATGGGGGCTAATAATTCTGACTTCAACTGTACACATATTGATACAACTATGTCAATGTATAACAAAAATCCCATGCTGCAACTTTCTGTTTGAATCTACTCAAGACAAAGTATGTAAAATAATTATTTATTCATTCATTTTCTTGTCGGCTTAGTCCCTTTATCAATTCGGGGTCGCCACAGCGGAATGAATCGCCAACTTATCCAGCAAGTTTTTACGCAGCGGATGCCCTTCCAGCCGCAACCCATCTCTGGGAAACATCCACACACACACACACACACATTCACATACACAACGGACAGTTTAGCCTACCCAATTTACCTGTACCGCATGTCTTTGGACTGTGGGGGAAACCGGAGCACCCGGAGGAAACCCACGCGAAGGCAGGGAGAACATGCAAACTCTACACAGAAACGCCAACTGAGCCGAGGTTCGAACCAGTGACCCGGCGACCTTCTTGCTGTGAGGCGACAGCACTACCTACTGCACCACTGCCTCGCCCAATAGTTATTTAAGTAGCTACAAAATAAATCGACCATGTTATATAGTCATCAAAATCCTACTAAATATGTTACAAATAGCTGTTATATCACTAAGACCCAGAGTCTATGCAGTAAATGAAGTAATATCTCAGTTACATCATTTACCCTTTCCTTAATATATTCCCTTTAATAAATCAGCCGTGTTGTAATACACAAACTGTTTGTTGGGAGTGAGCCATTGAGAATTATTACAAACTATACTATCACAGAATCTAATTTACAGTAGGAGGAGATCAAATTACAGTAATTAATTTACACAGAATGAAACCCAGCGCCCAAAATCTACACTGTTTACAACTTAATCATTGCAGTTGAGCCAGAACGAAGCCAAAAGGCGTCTAGTTTAAAACAATGGATGAACCGCTCACTCTTTATAATGATAAATAGGTCTCTAGTGTAAAAAAGAAAAACAGGCTCTGTGCCTAAACAGTACTTGAACTACATGCAACCTGTTTTAATGGAGCATAAAAAGTATCTGAATGGGCAGCAGGCCTAATAGCATACAGTATCATTTATATAAGATAACTCTATTTAAAGGACGCATTGTGCTCCCCTTCGTAAGATATCAAATAAATGTATTATGTCCACAGAATCTGTCTGTGACATTTCAAATAAAAAAGCCACACAGGGGTGCATTTCCGAAAACCATTATTAGCTAACTAAGGTCGCAAGTTCTGTCGTTATAAACATTGTTTGTTGATTTGGGATTTCACAAACTGTGTCAAACTTGTACACTTTCAACTACACCTTTAGAGCTGTAGTTAAAAGCATGGTTCCTGGCTGTGTTCTATTCCCAGTTGTCCCTCATGCCCTATTCATTTAGAACATTAACATTTAAACTTGGGGGGGGAAAAAAAAAAAAAAAACATTTAAGTCATTTCTCTTGTAGTTTGCTTTCAAAGTATTTTGACAGTTCAGTTATATATATATATATATATATATATATATATATATATATACAGTGTATTATAACTGTTTGAAAACGCCCCTTTTGGGCTAAACCTTATTGTGCCATGTTTGGTGTCTGCCACTTTAAACTCAAATAAGGTTGTGCTCTCAGTACTCTTTCCAAAAGAGGGAGGAGCTACAAATGCCTGTGTGTCAGCATAGTTGCAGATTCAAAAACAAGACGAATGTCTGTACTAATGCCCTCTGCTGACATGTACAAAGACAGTATGTCAAAGTGCTTCTGTTTTTATGAAGTGTAATTCTAAAGAAATAAAGTACCTTTTTACCATTAGAAGATGGTTTTATTCACAGACTGTTGAAACACAACTGTGTTTAAACCCCTTACACAATAGATTTTTGCTTGTGAGTTTTCGTGCATGTATCTATGATTGGTAAAACTTAATTGTTGTTCAGTCTGACACCATGAAAACTGAGATGGTTTAGTGTGACATGAGAATCATGTTAGTGTTTGTGCAGTCTGACATGATACAATCATTTAGGATTATTAAAAATCCCACAGTGTGAGCCATGCTGAAGACAATTGTCATATTCGCTGACATTCTAGGAGTAAAAAGCTGAATTTCCATGACCAATAATAAATAGCAAAACAGACACCTGTTTTTAACAGTCCCTTTTTGTGATTCTGCTGGGTCAGTTGGCATTTCTGTGTGGAGTTTGCATGTTCTCCCAGTGTTGGCGTGGGTTTCCTCCTGGTGCTCTTGTTTCCCGCATAAGTCCAAAAACATGTGCTAAGTGAATTGGGTAAGTTAAATTGTCTGTAGTGTATGCGTGTATGTTCTGGTCCTCCAGGTTGGAGGTTGAGCGTTGGGCTAACGACCCACCTCGTAAAAATGAGATGTTACGAAACATCTATTTGGTGTGTCTAAATATAACTTCAATATAAATAGCCCAGGGAGTAAGTAAGTTGTGTTTGTAATTTTAACAAGATTTATTCCGGTGTTACTACTGACAAGATATTTAGATCATTGCGACATCTATTTGTATTAGTAAATGCAATGAAGGCTGATTATAACCCTTAAACACAGAGCAGTATAGATTTTCATGATGTGCCCCCTTAATATGCGTATTTACAAGGCTTATATTAGTCTCATCTGCATTGTTTTTTTTTAAGACAGAAAGTTACACCAGCAGTCCTCACCATCAAGTATTCCAATGTTGTCTTGGGATCCCCAAAAGCATTTTCAAATAACAAATTAAACATTTACATTTTTCACTGTGCACTGAGCCTTAGCATCTCCTGCAGGGTTGAAGAGTCAAGGCGAAGCCCAGAGGGAGGCTTCCTTCCAACAAATTAATCCCTGAGAAAAGCAGAGGCGAGTGCTGCTGGTACACCCCTCTATTCCCTCAATAATAAAGAGTGACTTACGCCGCGGCTCATTCTCACCTGGAAAAGCGGTACACACACACACACACACACACACACACACACACACACACACACACACACACACACATCCGCGCGCGCACACACAAACACACACACACACACGGCTGCCCACCCCAAACTGTTGCCATGGAGATAGTGCTTACCTCAGTGCCTCCCGAAGTGCCCCACGCTCACTCAGAGTCGTGTGCTTGATGTCATCAAAGTTGTTCTCCAAATTCACACAGGACTGTTAGAGCGAAACAGAGACATGGTTGGGTCAAAGCTGAACATGTAATCAACTTCTATGATTTGTATTTTTCAGAAAACAACCATTATTTACAATCCTACAAAGATGAGGCTACATACAGTCAAAACAAAGCTTTTTCATGCACTTATCACTTTTAAGATTTAGGATATTTAGGTTGTTTTTCTTTCAATTTAATTTAAAGAAAGCATCCACAATACAATATTAATATCAATATTATCAATTCTGGTCAGTAAATTTCAACAACTATAT